TTCAGTCCATGCTACTCTATTCTGTCCCCATCTTAGTTCCTTTTTTTTTTTTTTTTAAGATTTTACTTAGTTTTTGTTTTTTTTTTTCTTTAAGAGTGAGGGGAAGGTAGGGACAAAGAGAGGGAGAGAAACATCGATGTGAGAGAGAAGCATCAATCAGTTGCCTTTCGTATGTGCTCCAACCAGGCACCAAACCCTCAACCCAGACCTGTGCCCTGACCAGGAATCAACCAGCGACCTCTTACTTTACTGGCTGCACTCAACAAGCTGAGCTGCACCAGTCAGGGCCCTGTCTCAGTTCTTAACAATGCGCCAGGCAGCCTCACGCTGACAGGCCCCGCCCTCCTTTCTGCCCCTTCAGCTGCTCCCATGGGAAATCACAGAAGCAGAATGTTTGGACCCACTTGGGATCTTAGCATCCAGTGCAGCGGTTTTCCATCCTGGTTCCTTGGCGCATGATGCAGACACGTGTGAACTGTTCCTCCGAGTTCAGCACAGCGTGCTGGCCACATTCCCCTCCTGCTGTCTAAGCAGCGCCCTCCAAGAACCCACACCGGGCAGGCCTCTTCCCGGAATCCCAGCCCGTATTGTGCTTTTCGTAGGGAGAGTGGCAGCGGTGTGCACATCTGGGGGCCTCCCGCGGGTAGAGCCCCGCAGCCCTGCTTCTCAGAGGTGATGGCCCTGGAAACTGCTCATCTCTCTGCTGCCATAGAGAGAATTACATTAAGAGCAGAACTAAAAGATCAGCCAGGAAAACCATTAAGAACAGCAAGTGAATAAATCACAGCAGTTGCAGAAGAAATTTAAAGACCTCAGAAATCACTGTATATGGAACTGGATAGGAATAATTGATTATCATCCAAAAATTGTCAGATGCTCAGTTTAGGCACCAAGAAGGAACGAAAGGTCAGAATAGCCCTCCTGGACCAGTGGGGACTGGGGACACGAAGGCAGTTGGGTCCTTTCTAAAGGCTTTGACGTGAGCTGCAGCTACTTGAGCATCATCTCAGCACCGACAGGGGCAGGGTTCAGGTGCACTGTGCTGGGTCAGTGCTGAGCGAAGCACCGTTTCCGCGAACTTGGGAGGACTGCCTTCTTCTGCTGGGAATGTTGAAGCCCCAAATTTCCAGTTAGGACCATCGGGATTCTGATTGCTGTTGAGAAAATGGAATTAGACTCCATTTAAACAGCACTTGGCCTGATGATGTTTGGTACTTCCTGGGGCCAAATGCTGTTCCCAAATGTGCATAAATTACAAAGCAAGATTAGATATTATGGAGAATGCGGTGATAATCTGGATTATAAAGTGCCAGAAGCTTCTCCTGGAGGGATGTTTTAGGTTTCAGTTCCTTTAATCCTTTATGAAGTAGGTTCAGATTACGCTGCCCTTGGGGGCCCTCTTATCAGGTCAGTGGTGATTTAGGGAAGCCTGGGGAATGTATGAGAAGGTCGCAGTGACTATATTCACTTATGTCCGGGGCTGGGTTTCTCGATCTTGGCACTTTGAACATTTGGAGCCGGATGATTCTTTGTGGTGGGTACTGTCCTGGCCATTGCAGGGTGCTGGGCAGCATCCCTGGCCTCTGCCCACTAGACACCAACAGCATCCCTCTACCCAACCCCCTCAGTCGTGACCACCAAAAATGTTTCCAGACTTTGCCAAATGTTCCCTGGGGGGCAAAATCCCAAATGCCTCCTGCTGTTGAGAATTACTGCTTTAGGATGACCCACCAACCATCCCGATTTACTCAGGACTTAGGAAATTTAGCACATGGGACAGCACATGCAACCTGGGAGGAGTTGGTCACCCACCTGTGGGACTGGTATTATCTACATCATACTAAAGTTTAAAAGTAAGAACCCAAACGTTTTGAAAAGTCTGTCTTCAATGAAGGCCCGGGGGGAGACATGGTGTCATTTCACATCCGCATGCTTTCCAGTACCGTGAAGGCGTCAGAGACAAAGGTCCCTCTCTTTCCTCAGTGCCTGTAAACCACAGCCGTGGCGAGACAGGCCACTGGGGGCTCCAGCCCTGGCCAGTGGACCGAGAGGCCGTGAGTTGAACCATGCCGCCTTTCTAGAAGAGAGGTTCTTGTTTGACACCTAGTAGTTAGTTTGAGTGACAGACTTCTCCTTAGAACTGTAGGCTGTGTGACAATGTACATCATGAGAGTGACAGCAACAATGGGGACTAATATAATTCCACTTTTGTTTGCAGCCCCAATAAATCATTACTGCAGGGAAAAAGAAATTTCACTTTCTCAGACAAGGACGATTTATATGATGATGTGTTCTGGGTAAATGAGGTCCAAGAGAAGGTCTGTTAGGGGGCTTACAAACATTTGAAATGACGTGTCATAGAACTTGCTGCAAATGCCCCCTGCACCTGGCCTGGTGAATGACTTGTAATCTGGTGAAGGGCCTCCTTCCCAGATTAACTGAGAGTCACATGAGATCATACCAACCAGCTTGGCAAAATGATGGTCTGTCTTCGGGTGTCACATTGGACAATGTAACTGATTATAGTGCTGTGGATCCTACCAGAGCTGGTGAATGAAACAGCTAAAATAAAGGTTCTAGACTCTAGAGTCCTGACCACTTACAAACAGGAGAAGTCTTGATGTGAATGGAACGTTGCCAGTGTTTTCCATCTTCCTTCCAGAAAGTGATACTTGCATAGGAATGTGCTTCTGGGAGGCTTTCAAATGAATTATGGAGAGAGGGCAGCTTGGGCCTCAGAGTGCCATGCCTGAGCACCTAATGAATCAGGGTGGGGGGGCTGCCATATAGATGGACCCCCTCTCCCCTGCCCCACCACCGAGGAAGACAGTGTATAGTGGGCCCTGATGCTTGCAGAGAGTCATAGGCACTTTGTCTAAGCTAAACAATGCCTAGCCTACTTTGGGGACATCCTGCAATCCTGTTTCAGTCCATTAAAAGCACAAGAAAACCACTTGCCTGTGAGTAGAACCCACTTCTTCCTGCACTACATTGACATTTCGCTCTGGGGTTGAGGGCAGAAGGAGGGAGGGAACCCAGGGGAAGTTTTGCTTAAGATCATTTCCCGCACGAGGGCTCACTGCAACCTTCCTACCCGAGACGTCAGCACCAGTTGCGCCCCCACTTGAGGGACTGAAAGAATAAATCATAGGCAGAAGCTGTAAACACGCCCGTCAGGAAGCAGCCTTGCTTCGGAGCTGTGCGAATGTGAGGTAAATGAGCAGTTACTGCAGAGCTGACTTTACAGGAGGGAGACATTCTGCGTGAGGGCACAAAGAACTGTAATGTGAATTCTAAAACTGCTCCGGTTTTCTCCCCACGGCCCACCCGAAGCAGTGATCTTCGTCCGCACTCGCCTGGCTCAAGGGAGCTTTCATACCCCCATTTGTTTTAACCCTGATAAGTGGCCCAGAGCTCCGGGTTGGGTCTGTCTGGTCAGCCGTTGAAAACACGTATTTGTCTTTTAGGGAGCAGGTCCTGGATACCGTCAGAAACATGAGAAACAGTTTGAGGAGATACACAAGGAACAAATATTTTACTGTCACTGGGTGTCATTAAATTCCGTGTCTAAGAGGGATTGGGGATTTGGGGTTCTAGGAGCGTGATGCTCCCCGCCTTTCCTCGTTGTATCATCTTGGAATGCAAAACTGCGTCGTGGTGCTCTTTATTGCCAACACACAGCCCTCAGGAGCTGGCGTGTGCGTCATCTTGCTGGGTCTGCCGTGCTGCCAGACACCGGTGTCCCAGACACGTAGCTGTAGGCACCAGAACAGGAAAGAAGCGAAATGGCAATGTCTGGGAAGACGGAAAACCCCGGGCATGCTGCTGGGGCGGGAGCAGGGGGGATAAAATCGTGCGGACATATTTAAGGAATATATAATACTCTACGTTTAAATAGAATATTTAAGGAGTTCTCTGGGCCTGTCCTGTGCTGTAGAGTTTGCCTCTGAAGGAAAACAAAACAAAACTTAATTAGCCCTTGGTTTACAAAAGGTCTTGGGACCTGTGCCTTTGGGTTTTCTTTGTTTCAAGAATTTGTTTTCTGCAAATGCAGGCCTGGTCCCTGTTCCACAGGCGTAATAGCTCTGTCATTGTGTTTGTTTTCTAGGGCTGCGGCAACAAATTGCTAAAACCTGGGTAGCTTGAGAACACAAATTTATCCTCTCATGGTTCCCGGAGGCCAGGAGTCTGAAACCTGGGCATGGGCAGGGCAGGGCTGGTTCCTTCAGGGGGGCTGTGAGGGAGGGTCTGGCCTGTGCCCTGCCCCTAACCTCTGGTGACTGGCAGCCCTTGGAGCTGCATCACTCCACTCAGTCTGGGCTTCTGTCTTTGCGTGGCCATCTCAAATCTAGGGAGAGTTCATCAAATCTAGGGAGAGTCCATCTTGAGATCCTTAACAATTACATCTACAAAAACCCTATTTTCAATTAAGATTAAATTCTCAGGTTAGGATGTGGGTGCATCTCTGTGGGGAGACCCAAGTCAACCGACTGCAGTCATTGAGGGGTTTTTCTTCGTATCTAAAGTTGCTACTCTCTGTTGTTTCAGTCCACTTTCAGAACAGGGCTCACTGTTAAGCTAAGCTCCAGCGTTTTCTTCTCCGTCCCCCTACCCCATATTCGCGTTTAAACATCCCTTCCTACTCCGTCTGCCATACCACTCCCAGTAGACAAAGGCCAGGCTGGCCAAACCCTTTAAACATAGCACCTCCCAGCCACTGAATTCTCCTGTCCTGGTCAATCAGATCTAAGAGGATGATCCTATGAGGTCCCCCATACCAGCCGTAACCTCCTGCCTTCACACATTTGGTGAGCACATCAATATGCACAGAAATCGACAAACTGGGATAAAGACCAGAGGCTCAGGGCAGAGATGGCTGCAGAGAGAAGAGCTGCCTCAGAGCCCCGAGGTCCCTCTAGCAGTCAGTTCATCCAGGAAGATGCGGTAGCACAGTGAGGCTCTGAACAGACTGATTCTTCTTTTTCTTTCTTTCCTCTTAGCAAACTGCCTAGCTGGGCCAGAGCTGTTGTTCCCAAAATATTTTATGTTACAGAGAAGGCTTGGAACTATTATCCCTACACAATTACAGGTAAGTCTTTTGTGCTGGTATGTTACATGTAGCAATAAGACGGACCAGTATCACATGTCCCTGATTGCGGGTTCATTGTCCCCACAGAGACTAGTGGGCGATCCCAACCTCCTCTCCAGTCAGCACTCTTCTTAGCCGGGAGTAGGGGGGTTAAGCTAGACCATTTCCTTTCTTTTAAAAGTGATTTTGGAGAAGGAAAGTTAAGCTCTTTTAATGACATTTCTAGAGGTTTTGTTATCCTTATTGTTTTCTGATTCCTCAAGTAATTTGGGGGTTTGGTTTTCTTGTAAACAAGTTGTTTATTTTGACTTGTTTGTTTTATAGCCCCACCCTCATATCCCCAAAAGCACCTTGACTATAATTTATGTAAAAGATTCTGTTGGGTCCCTTTGTCTCAAACTACATGCTTTGCAATTGGATAGCATGGGAAGCTTTCAAATCACTTTTCCTCTCACTTGTAGTAATGGAATGTTAAACTCTGTGCTGATACTGAACTATAAATTGTGGCCAAAAAGTGTAGAAGGCTTGGTTCTTGCCCTCAAACACATGAAAATTCAAAATCCCACTTGAATGCCTTCATAACAGCCTCTTCTTACTGGTTATGAAAGCTGCTTTTCCACTTAAAAGATTTTCTGTGTGATTAATGAAATGCTCTGCTGGAATTATTAATCTTTAATTCTGCTTTTATAATGCTAGTGCTTTGGTTTTTAATTAGCCACAAACTCATAGGCTAATTGAATCTTGTCTTACAGTCCTTGTCTGACCAACCACTAAAGTATCATAGAGTTTCAAAAACAAACATGGAAACATTCATTTATGAAAGTTTAATTTTTAGGTTTCTTTACCACATTTGTAATAATTATAATGAACTAGTATATGTTAGCTTTATGGTTTTATATGTAAGCATGGTCTAAATCACCATTTTTGTCTTTTTTTTCTTTTCCCTCTTGTCCAAATGAACTTCTGGGACCAGAATACACAGTAAGTTTTATTTAATCATTTTTAAATATTCAGCATACAATCAATGGAATAATTGAAACTTCTCTTGTACCTCTCATCTTCTCAATGTAATAAAAATATAGAGGAATAGTTCAGAATCAGAAATATTTCAATGTTGGCTATTGCATAGTTATATATGATACAATAACTTGAAAATTATTTCAAGTTATATCATTCTCATTTGGTCCAGAATATGAATGTTAATTTAAAATGCCTTGATAGTTACTTTACATAATTAACTTTGCTTATATTTTTAAATGGCTTGACTAATCTACTTGTGGTAGGTCACTGTCACGAAGAACAGTTTCTAGAGACGTGGAAGGGAAGAGATGGCGGTAGTTGGCAGTGGAAGATGGGCTGTGGCCTCATCCCTTACAGGAGAGCCTTGAAACTGGAGAGACACGCGTTCAAACTAGTGTACTCGGAGCTCTAGATTGGAAAGGCTCGGTGGCTTGATGAAATTACTTAATTTCTTCGTGTCCTAAGAATCTCTAGAGTCATTACTTCTATTTAAAAAAAAAGAGGACCTTGTATATTGTGTTATGGTTTTTTCATTGGTTCATTTCCCCAGCGGCCAACAGTTCAAACGGTCAGAACAAGAAAAGGGTTAACTGAGCTGCAATGGAATTGCATTTTCAGTCTCAATCACAGCAGCCAAGGAAGGAGAGATGGAGAGAGAGAATGGAGAGAAAGGATTCCCCTTGCCCTTGGCATGAGCAGCATGCCCTGTATGTAGCAGGTGCTCAGTAAGTAGTTATTGAAGGAATGAATTCATTCATTCATTCTCAATGAACTTGTGAATTCACACCTGAGTGAACACCTATGGGACTGAATGAATGAAGGAATGCATGAACCAAAGACAGACAGTCCAAACAGACACAGCAGAAGTACCACTAGCTGGAGTCCATGGGCCTGAGTGTCCCTTGGCTCTGCCACTGGCGGAAATTCTTACACGAGTGACTCCAAACAGCCAGTTCTTCCCTTCATACAGGTCTGTGACCATGTTCTTGTCTGTCCTTTGCAGAATTAAAAAATAGAAATAATATTCAAAGTTTTTCATAAAATAATTTATTCTTGGACATTAAAGTGTCTTTTTTAAAAATGAAATTATAGGAATATATATAACATTCCCTCCTGCCCAATGCCCATAACTTAAAAAAAGGGCCATTCTATGGCAAAATATACATTTTGGAGGTCAGGGAACCACTGCTCTGGAACAAGCCACTTAGCTTCTCTGCACCTAAGTTTCTTCCATCTCTAAGGTGGGGATAACCCCTCTTTCATGCTGCTGTTAGTAGAAGGATGCAGTGATGTAACACAAGGGTCAGAAGACTTTCTGTAAAGGATCATCTGGTAAATATATTCTGCATTGTGGCCCAGACGGTCTCTGTCACTGTGAAAGCGGCCATAGACAATATGTGAGGATATTGGCGTGATCATATTTGCCCAGGCAGCAGGCCAGATTTGTCCCCAAGGCTATAGTGTGCCAGCCCCTGATATGTATAGAACACTATTAGCACATCTGTACATAACAGGCAATTAAATGCTCCCCACCAATGCTACTCCCAGTTTCATTGCTCCTAGTAACCATACGATCTTCGAGGAAAAGACTTGAGGGTCTTTTGAACCTTGCCCCTTTTAACAGCTGTGCACATTACTTCCCATCAAGCCTCCACTTCCTCATCTGTAAGTGCAGAAAATGTACTAACTTCTCTCATAGGGTGATGTGAAGAGTATATCTTTTTGTTTTATTATTAATCATTCAATGCTAGAAGCTGCCACCATTAGAATGGAACTTCTATGGACGAGTGTCTTAGTGACCATCAGCACAGACTGGGCTCTAGTTATTACAGTGGACAGCACTAATTGTCTGGGTTATTATTTGATTTTATTGATATCTCATGGTATCCCACTTTGAGCTTCTCCAAAATCCTGTGCACAGACTTTTCGTTTGGAATGTAGGCAGAACATGCTCGTCCCTGTAACTACGCAAAGGCAGTTATTTGCCTGGTAGGCCTTAGAATTAGGTCACCTTGACTTGCCCCAAAAGAATCCAAAGAATCCTTCCTTGTCCCTTTCTAGCTTCTGATGGCCCCAGGCATTCCTTGTCTTGTGGCAGCCTGACTCCAAACACTGCTTCTGTCTTCATATGTCTCTTCTCTGCATATCTAAAAATATATTTTTATTGACTGATTTGGGGGAGAGAGAAAGAGACTGATTTGTTGTTCCACTTATTCATGTATTCATTGGTTGCTTCCTGTATGTGGCCTGACCAAGGACCAAACCCTCAACCTTGGCATATAGGGATGACACTGTAACCAACTGAGCCACCAGGCCAGGGCTTCCCTTGTATCTATCTTTTCACATAGCACCCTCCTCACTGTGTCTCTCTCCTTGTAAGGGCACCAGTCACATTGGATTAAGGACCCACCCTACTCCAGTATGACCTCATCTTAACTAACTGCATCTGTAGTGACCATAATTCCAAATCAGATCACATTCTGAGGAACTGAGGTTAGGAATTCAACATATAAGGGGGGTGCAATTCAACCCATCATACCGGCTTTCAGGTTTAGGTTAACATTCACTTATTAAGCACAAACAAAGTGTAAAACACTGTGCTAGAAGGCATCACTGAGCAGTAACCTCTGCCTTTGGGGCAAGTTACAATCTGGACATAGCAGTCTGATGACATTCCAGTCAAAGCCAGAGAGTCATCAGCAAGTCTTGGAATTTTCTGAAGGCAAGATAGGACAGGCCGTCCTTCAGCCCAGGGGACAGGCTGGCACCAGACCTGCTCACTGAGCTGGATGAACTCGGAGAGGGGCTGACAGCAGAGGCTCACACCAAAAGGTGGAATGAATGGCACTGAAGCCTTAGCCATACAAGCGATTGCAATGTGAAAGGAAGAGTCCTGGTCTCTAGATTGGGGTCTTCAGCTTCAGGGACAGGACACAGCCATCTTACCTAGGTCAGACAAGGTGATCATGCAGTGCTGGGATGATAAAGTTGCCAGCTTTAGCAAGTAAAAAAGCCTACTGCAAGCAACTAGTTTTTACTATAAGTATGTCCCAAATACTACATGGGATATACTTATACTAAAAGATGCTCATCTCGTATTTTATCTGGCAGTCCCTTGGGAGCAGGTGTGGCGGTGGGGCAGAACTGGTCTCAGAGACCAAAGTGCCAAAATCAGGTTGTAAGAACAGGGCACACTGGTAGGCCAAGGGACCAGGATGTGAGAGAATTGTGTGACTCCGGAAACTGCCCTGCAGTTGACATGCCATGTTAACGCCAAGGCCAATCCAATGACCAGTCAGAACCACTTAAGTGCTTCCTGCCTCAGTTGGGATTGGCTCAGGAAGTGAAATGGATTGAAGGCAGGCAGAGCTGGAGAAAATAAAATGAGAGAAGATGACTGCATGACTGTCAGTATATCAGGGAAAGCCTGTACTAAGGGTTAAAGTGCAAATAAAAGGGTTGTGAAAAAGAGAAATTCTGCCTCAGAGAAATATGAGATTTCTTGGAGAAGGTGGGATTTGAGCTGGACTTTTGGAATAGTAGAACTCCCACCTACAGACACCTGCTATGTCTCAGTTTGCTCAGGGTACATAACAAAAGACCACATACTGGGTGGCTTAAACAAGAGACATGTATTCCTCACAGTTCTGGAGGCTGGAAGCTCCAGATCAAGGTGTTAGCTGATTTGGCTTTTGCTGAGGGCCCTCCTCCTGGTTTGCCTTCTTGCTTTGTCCTCACTCAGCAGAGAGAGGGGGGAAAAGCAAGCTTTCTGGTCTCTTCTTATAAGGGCACTAATCCCATTATGATGGCCCCACCCTCATGATCTCATCTAAACCTAATTACCTCCCGTAGGCCCATCTCCAAATACCATCACATTGGGGTTTGGGCCTCAACATGAACTTGGGAGCAGGCACACAGTTCTTACTTAGCATGCTCACTCCATTCCCAATGGCTAAGTGATATCACGCAGGTCCTGGCTGCCTAGATACACAGAGGCCAGGTCAGTGTGACTTTGAATGTCAGGTCAAGGGTGGATTTCATTCTCCATAGGGAAGCAACATTGTTCCTGTCTAATCCACTTTTATTTTCCATCCCAAATATAGGACAACTTTGCTTTCTGTCTCCCAGTGAGTGGGGGAATCTTGGGACTTTTCTCTCTCTGGCTGCAGGTGCACTCCTTCCCATCCACTTGGACTTGACTGTGTTCTCATGCCCTCTGCCCACCGCAGCAGACCAGACGAAAAAGCCCACTCTTCTCTCTGACTACAGGGTCTGCTGCTGGGATTTATGACACATGCTTTCAATTGTTTTCATCTTTTTCTCTGTTTTAAGTGCTTTTTCACTGGGCTGTTTATCCCCTGATTTCTTAATCCTGAATATCTCTACTCGACGTCATTCCAAGCTTCATATTTCATAACTGTGCCCCAGAGCAAAACCTCCCCAGTGCCAAACCCCCAATTCGGGCCCCCAAGCCCACCCCTCCCTCCTGGAAGCCAGATAGTTGTCTATTTTCATAGGATTAGTCCTGAGCAATGTTTTTTCTTAGGGTCCCCTAGGTCTTATATCTGACTGTCCAGCCTATTACTAAGACCTCCTGCTGACTTCATCTGTGACAAAGTCCAGCCAAGGGACCTTTTTATTTAGGATCATTTAGGGCCTTGACATTATCACAGTTATAAAGACATAAAAGCTTTTTCAGCACTGTGAGTGACTGTGTGTGTTGAGGATTATGTGGAAATTCTACTTGACCAGGAAATGGAAAAAAATATCTTTAGCTTGGTTATGGGAAAAAGCTTAATTATACAATAAACAAAGAGCAACACAATGACAGTTTTCCGGAGGACAGACCATCCGACCAGTTCTTCAGAACCGGCAGGTCCTTCTGAAGTTTGTCAAGTCACAAAGGAAGGTGCCCGGGGAGGCTGGCTGCCTTCCAAAGTCGCTGATTTTGTTTGTGTAGA